TAGTCCATCAAATTGAATGAGTAGATTGGCCAACCCACTCAGTAACTCATCTGCCCTCCCGAATTCAGTAATCCCCTCCATCCCTACCGTGGATTGATGAGATGTACAGTGAGGCTGAAACATCTTTTTAATATCAAAAGTATTCTGTACATAAAGTGGATAATGCACACAAAATGATATATGTCTGTGGTTTTTAGCTTGAAGAGTGCTTTCCCCTTGCTCTATTTGACCTGAGATCCCCTCGTCACAACATTTCCATGACTAGCAAATGGCCCTTTTTATTGCTATAATCACTGAGGTTATACCATATGCTTTCTAACAGATGAACATGAAAAAAGTAAAACTAATCATTTAAATTAGTTTCAGGGATACTGTTCTTGGCATAGAATAGACTACATGAATCTTTTGCAGCTATTTCAACTCACAGTGAACCAGCTTTTGTAGATTTAGCTCGCAACATAGCCTATATTTTCCTGACCTTGAACAGTTATTAACATTTTATGATTCTGGAATAATACTTACTCCATAATGACCATACTCTTTTATGATCTATTATAATAATAGATTACACAATTATTTTATAGGATAATGCATTAAAATCCTCTGAATATTAAAAAAAAAACCTTTGAACGAAATGTGAAAGGAGTTTAACAAGGTAAAAGAAATGACCTGGTTATATTTGCTTAAACTCTGGCTCATCTTAACGGTAAGAAGTGCCTGACTCAGCCAAATCCATCACCCTAATGAAACCTTTCTTCCTTCTCTCTCACAAAGGCCCTAGCTTCCATCTTGGATGTGATAACAGGTATTAGAGTCTCAACAAAAAATCATTTGTTCTTATATCTATTCTTATACTTAATGCAATGATACAATAAATGCATGTTAGATATAAACTTAATTTAAGATTACTACCAAAGCCCCAAACTCTATCTGCCCACTTTATGATATATACTACCACTAATATTGAATTTCAGTAATCTTTATAAAATGAGCATAAGTCTTTCGAGTTAGATATGATTCTTTCTGGCGTCATGGTGGTTTGGTTTCAGGAGAGTGAAATTAAGTAGGCTCAAATATGCCTCAGGAGAAAATGGAGCAGTGAAGTTGTTAATCATGTTTGTGAGAAACAGCAATGCAAAGCCTCTAAAATTATTGAAGACTTACATCTAAGTGAGCATAAAGATGAAATAGATAGAGGTACATAAAATATTCCAGGGACTTTTGACTATTATGTTCATTAGAGTTCCAGCTTAATGCATGCTTTATTGCCCAGAAATTCATTTCATTTGCATTTTAACTGGGTTTTAGTCGAGTTAATCCTTTTTCTTCCTTGCTAAAAAAGTATTCAGCAACTACAGCAAAATACCAAAAAAGAGAGTAATTGAAAGAGACTCCTTGTACCAAAACTTAACTTTGTCATGGTTTACTAAAGAAAGGAGATGTCTATACTAACGCCACTAAATTGCATCATATTTGGCACTGAATCAATCATGTGTATTATAGAGTATGTTCTACTAAATAGCAGGCAACTTATTCATTTATGCTAAAGATTTAGTATCAAGGGAATTCAATGAAAATCAACACTTCATTTGCACAAGAGTGAAAATTGATAAAGTATTCACACATTTAGAAGTAGGTAATTAATTTTCACAGATCACTTGAATATATAATAATACACATCATCTCAACTGTTGTTCAAATTTAAAAAAAGGTTATTTTAGTTGTATTTTATAAACATAATCACTTGGTTCAATAAGTACATTGACCAGATTTTTAAAAAGTCAATTAAAAAAAATTAAAATCTATTTTCTAAATCCTAATCTTTCCCAGCCACTTGGAAGTAAAATCCTTTCATCTATATGTAAAATTAAAAACCTTAAAGAACCAAAATCATGGTGATAATGTCTTAGTGGGCTGGAGCTATAGTACAGCGGTAGGGCATTTGCCTTACAAGGGGCCAACATGGCTGACTCAAGTTCGATTCTTCCGTCCCTCTCGGAGAGCCCGGCAAGCTACCCAGAGTATCTCGCCCTCATGGAAGAGCCTGGCAAGCTCCCCGTGACATATTCAATATGCCAAACACAGTAACAACAAGTCTCATGATGGAGATGTTACTGGGCCCACTCAAGCAATGTCTTAGTAAAATGGTCCCCATTTCCAAAAGTACCAAAGTAAAGAAGACAAGAAAAAGATAACTCTTACTAGATAGACAAATAATTTTTATCCACAAAAGGACAGTTTCTTCATTATTCTGAAATGTTTTCACATGTACGTTTAAAATAAAATAGTGTGATTTGACTCTTAGCATCTTATTGAGAACTTTCAGAACACCATTCAAAAAAATCACCTCCCTTCTCTGGATAAATGCATAGACTGATGTCAGACAAATTATCAGTATGAAAAAATGCCAAATTTAATTGCCTATTATGAAGGATGTAAGTGACTGTAAATTCTAAAGTAAACAGGAGAAGCCCAGGGCTTATATCCTACATTAAGCCATAGAACTGAGACTGGGGCATATAGGAATGAGGAGGAGCTTAACACAATGAAAAAGGGGTGAACTCATGTGACAAATCTTTTCTCTAAGTATCTACCCCTGCATAAGACAGTCTGTTTTGGCTGATGTAAACACCAGTCTGCAGAGAACTGCAAATCTAGATTCTCCGCCATCTTTTCATAATGTTAAGAGTTTGTCCACTTGCATCAGTAAAATATATTAGAAAACATGCTAACCTAGACATCAGGAGAGAGGTTTATCTTAGAGTCATTCCTAAAAAACTTTCTTTTCATTAAAATTTTCTGTAAAAGTGTGTGTTATTTCTAAAGGAAAACTGAGAGTTTGCTTTCTTTCTCACGGTGACTGAAAAGATAAAGTGTTCTGCTAGCTCTAATTTACTTACCTCACCTGAAGCTATTATCACATTTAGGATGGCTTTTTACGAGGGCTACTGGCTTCTTAATGAGGTCACACAATGATGATGATTGTTTGGAAGAATTCCTGTTGTTAATTGGCACATTAAAAAAAGAAGTTTGGAGCTGTCAATCACTGCAACTACTAAGGTATATAGTAAACAAGCAAAAAATGCTACAGCCAGAAAGGTATGTTGAGTCAGCCTATGTTTGTGTTAGGTTTATTGTTGCCTGAAGAAAATAAAAATGATTTTGAATGAGTAGTAGTCATTAAACAGAAAGTCCTTTTTTTAACCTGTCTTCACCCCTGCTAATTATTGCAGAAAGAAAACGTATAAGCAGGAATTTAATAAGACAACAAAGCCAACTCACCCAGAGTTAGATATGTCCCCACTCACTTGGTTGCAAGGAGAAGCAAACTGAGATGCTGGTGAGGACACAAATTTACCTAAATAACACCTCTCCAATTTCACTTATGGAAGGATGACCTTCTAGAGACTCTAGCAAAATTTTAAAAATGCATTTGCATTTGATTTTATGATATGGGTGAGAATCATATAAAATGTGTATACTTGCCTTAGTAAGTGCACATTATCAACTTAGGTAAAGTAAAGATTTTGTTGATACAGTCTGAAGTTACACAAATCTAATTTCCAATTTACCACAATTTCAAATGTTTTAGGAGTTGGGGTATGAATCAATGGTAGTATCCTAGACTGTAATGAGTGATAAAATATAAACTATAGATCCCACTGCATTATGTTTCTGACACTGCTGAATGCAATTAAATTGTAATAACAAAACATTTACATCATGTTTTCCTGCATGTCTAATATTAACAATTTATATTATATTTGCATATATCCTTTATCTCAAATTTGTTGAGACTTCATTCCATAGTCTCACAACTTTGTACAAAATAAATATCTTTTGGACAATAATGTCATTCTTATATCTTTTAATAAGGAAAATTGAAGTAAATTTGGAACAGTTATATAAACATAGTTAAGAGGCGGTTAGATCAGGAAAGAAATCATTTTTGAATTTTCTATTCTTATTTAATCTCATAAAATGAGATGAGAGAAAGAAAAGAGAGAGCAATGATACAAAAACCAAAGCCAGAATAAAAAGGAAATGTAAAAATTGACATCATTTAGAAATGGAGATGCTATAAACTCACAACATGTAAAAACATAGTCTTCAAAAGCAGATGAATGAAGAAAGAAAACTAGAATGCTGTGTGCCAAATGTCTTACAAAAGAAAGTCTGTTTATAATTAAAACACCTATTACATATAAACACAAAAATTTATTGACCATTAATGGACAAAAACAATCTCAATATTTTAAATAGTTGGACATTCTAGATCATTCAAAAGAGAATGATTATTAGATTAATTTTCTCTGTATCATTCCAATTTTAGTATATGTGCTTTTGAAGTGAGGACTGAAGTAATTTTTATACTCATATATTCACACAAACACAGTAACATAAAAGTAACGGCTAAAAATTTTAAAATGTTCATGTCATTTCCTCCCTATCTTTTTTTAAGAGGAAAACTATGCCAGCAACTTAAAGTACAAATTAAAAATTTTGAATTGTAAAAGAAAAAGAAAAGGGAAAATATTTAAAAATAAATCATTAAGTAATTAACAAACTAACCCCTACACTATAATGACATAGCTTGATATATAACTTGATATAAAAATATGATCCTGTAACAATTCAATTGATGAGTATCAATATCAAGAAATTATTCTGAAAACACCCACAGCTCTCATTGGTGACAATTTGATCTTAATGTCTAAGACATTATTCTAACCAATAATATATCAAGAAAATTCTGAGATTGTTCATACATTTTGAAATATTTACTTAAAAATTATAAATTTATTATGTATGCTTCCTCTATGTTAATATTTCCCTAAAGCTAACACTGAGTACATCAATTGAACTATTTAAGCTCTCTGATCATTTCTATATAAATTTTATAATTAATTATAAAAACATTCAAAAGCTTAAAAAAGCTGCTTATTTCTTCTACGAAAAAATTCTATTAAAATATAAATAATTTTTTCCATAGAATTAAGAAAAATACTAAGTACTTTGGGTTAAAGAAGTAATTTTTCCTTGCACAGGGACCATGCTAATCTTCTCTGTATCATTCGAGTTTTAAGAATATGTGCTTCTGAAGTGAGCACTGAAGTAATTTTTATACTCATATATTCACATTTCAGTTGGAAATTATTGACTTAAAATGCAGTACAATTTGAAATAAAATGTAAAACAGCTACCAAAAAACAATTTAATAACAAATAAACCTTACTTATAAGACCATTATCAGATATCTGTCTAAGTGTTATAGATACTTTTAGTCTGCAATGTTTAGTGTATGTATTGGAAGAGAAGATATCTGAAAGCTGTTACCTGTTACCTTGATGTAAAGAAATGAAAGAAAATAGGTAAGCAAAAGTGATGTGTCATTTTTAGGATGATCCATTTAAGAAAATTTGAGCACTCTATGTCTTTATTAGGCCTCTGTGGTTTCAAAAAATCTTTGTTTTAATAGAGAGTCAGAATTTAAATTAATAGGAACCAAGGACAAGAAAGTTATTCAGAAGCTGACCAAACGCAAGGTGTACTTGTTGTAGTCAAGAACATTAACATTACTGAGTTAAGTCATTAAAAATATGTTTTTCCTATGTGTTCGGACCAGTATTAATTTACTCTATTGGTCAATTGCAGAAGACTTATTTCATTTTTACAATTTCCTTTCCATGGTTATAGATAGATAGATGGGTAGATAGATAGATAGATAGAGATGTTATTATATATACATATGCATATATATTTATATTTGTTATTTATTCAGGTACTGAGATTTTATTGATCATTACTGGTAGATCATCTGCCTTTAGAGGCATGAGCATGTCTATTGCTACTGCTCAATACTCAGTTTCTTAAAGTCTAAGATCCCTGGTATCGAGCTATTAGCAGAAAACAACACACAACTCAGATTTGACAGTAATGAAAATGACTGTAGTGTGGTTGTTTTCTCTCTAAAAAATTTTTTTAATCAAATTTTAAAAGTGATTGAATTGTGGAAACATTTGTTTTTAAGAAAATTTTTAAATTCCTTGTGTAACATAAGAAATTCAATAGACACAGAAATTCTATAAACACATCATCTTGAACTAATGTGCTTCTTTCACAGAAAAGCATCAGAGAACTGTGCTAGAACATCACTGTATCATTAAATTTTACAGAGAGTCTATGAGGAAAAAATTCTTACAACTGAAAGACCAACATAGGAGTATTTAACCTGAATGAATTCTGTTCTTTGAATGAATGTTAAGATAAATTCATCACTAGATTTCCATAAACAATGAATGTTACTTAACATTGGGTATAGGGATGGCTCCCACATTTTAAAACAGGAATTGTATCAATAAAATAAATACTATGTGAGCTCATTCAACTAGAAGAAAGAGACCAAGAGTTTGATACTATAGTAATTGTGTGTGCTTCTGGGGACTACAGGACCTTAGCTAAGTAGTAACAGGAACACAATAAATAATATCACTAATTGTTTTAAGGTTAATCTTTACCTGGGGCCCAATCAATATGAGGAAGACTTTTTTTTACATAAAAAGTAAAATATTAACAATATACAACTCCTAGCATTTAGATACATGTTAGAATTTGGTTCTATTTTAGACAAACATAATTTCTTGCTATGACAAATCCAGTTTAGAGAGAGTGACCTATCACTAGGAAAAAACTGACAAGAAAATTGAATTAATAAAATTATTTTAATTTACACATAACATATGATTTTGGAAAGAAAACAAAATTTTAATAAATAAAAAATGTGTTTCACCTAACATCATAAGGAAAATTCATAGATACTATAAATCAACAAAATCTAATAGGCTCTGGAGTTGTAAATAACATTCTCAAATTAAAATAAGTAATAGTATTGGAGTACCCTTGAGCTGTAAGTAAGTTGAAATCCTGCCTTTCTGGCCCAATATTGATTGTCAAGAAGGTAGTGTTTAATGAAATAAGTCAGATAGAAAAAAGAAACGCCGCATGATTTGACTCATGTAAAACCAAGGGGCTGGAGCGATAGCACAGCGGGTAGGGCGTTCGCCTTACAAGCAGCCAACATGGCCGACCCGAGTTCGATTCCTCCGCCCCTCTCGGAGAGCCCGGCAAGCTACCGAGAGTATTCGATATGCCAGACACAGTAACAACAAAGTCTCCAATGGAGACGTTACTGGGCCTGCTCGAGCAAATCGACGATCAACAGGAGGGCCTTTACCTTTACCTTTACCTTTACCTAAAACCAAGAAATCACCTAAATAAAGTAGAAATAAAAAAAAACAAAGAAACATTCAGTGATTACCAGAAGGAAAAAGAATGAAGCAATGTCAATTGGATAAAATAATACATTTTGATGACAAATTGGACTTTTATTCATAAAATTAATATTCTAAATACATATGTTGATTTATAATACACACATGGACTTATCTAAGTTAGAAGTCAATATAAGTTTAGAGTAGAACTGTAGCACTGCCCTCCTGTTGTTCATCGATTTGTTCCAGCGGGCCCAGTAACATCTCTATCATGAGACTTGTTATCACTGTGTTTGGCATATTGAATATGTCACAGGAAGCTTGCCAGGCTTTGCTGTGCAGGAGAGATATTCTCGGTAGCTTGCCTGGTTCTCCGAGAGGGGCAGAGGAATCGAACCTGGCTCTGCCGGGCCAGTTGCACGCAAGGCAAATGCCCTACTGCTATGCTATCGCTCCAGCCCCAATTTTGGAGTAAAATAGAATAATAGTAAAAAGTTCTATATGGATATTGATTGCATAATAAAATACATTAATAATTAAAACCTTTAATTAAGAGCTATAGATCCTAGACATTTTTAGTTAAAATGGAGATAAAATTGAAATTAAACAAATCACAAAACATGAGGTATAACAGAATTTTTCAAAAAAGATACTAAAAAAGTAAAATACAACAAAGCACATTTTCTCACCTACAAAATTCATGCTATTAAATTAGTGAAAGTGTCATTACGCAGTGGTAATGTCATTATAATATTTCAATCAGTTTACTTTTTTTTTTTTAATGGATGGCCTACTGGTGCTTGGGGTTTATTCCTGGCCTGTGTTCAATGATCAATTCTGCCAAGGCTCTGGGAAAAATGTGGCAACAATATTTGAACCCAGGATAGCTACATGCAAGTAATGAATAAATTTTCTTTTGTTTTTTTTGTTGTTTATTTTTTGGAACACAATGAGTGATGCTCAGTATTTACTCCTGGCTCTGTACTAAGGGATCACTTCTGGAGGGTTCTTGGTACCATCTGGCTTGCCTGAAATAGAACCTGTGTTGGCCAAGTACAAGGCTAATATATTGCCCTTTCTACTATGGCTCATGTTCTTCGAATTTATTTCTATGCATTGATCACTTCATACATTTTTTTCTCATGCTATATTTTAGGACTGGAGCTCAGCGGTGGGGCATTTGCCTTGCACGCAGTCAACCCAGGTTCGATTCCTCCATCCCTCTCGGATAGCCTGGTAAGCTCCCCATGGCATATTCGATAAGCTAAAAACAGTAACGACAAGTATCACAATGGAGACGTTACTGGTGTCCGCTCCAGCAAATCAATGAACAACAGGAGGACTGTTATCCAGTGTTCCAGTGCTATATTTTAAAATGAATGTTAAGGTGAATTATAAAAACATACAGGAGATGAAATGCAGCTCTGTGAAAATTGTGCGTGCAAAACGGCATATGAATTCCTGGATGGTACCAGAAAAAGGAAATAAACTATAATAGAAAATAACAAATAAATCCCAAATAAATCAAGTGTGCTCTCGTAAATCCAGAAGCTAGAGAAGATTCAATAATCAAAGGTGAGGTGATCTGAAATTAAGCAGTTATTCTTTGTTAATTCAGACATTCAGTATATGAGTATTTTAACCCCAAACCTTCTGGCAATCATGTCACAAATATAATAATTTATAAAACCAACCATTTTAATGAGATAAAAGTAAAAATATTTGCCTTATAGTATTACACATTCTAAAATTAATACTCAGAAGATTTTCTTGTAAGTCTTCAAGTGGATATGAATAATGTAAGAAAAGATGTGCTTAGAACACATGATAAGAAATGTGTTGGTGAATATTAAATTTGAAGTAACTTTATTCTGTAGAAGACTAATATTAATCATAAAAAGTGATACTATTCCAACAGAAATGGTGTGACCTAAGCAAATGAAGTGTATTTCATACTGTTCTAGTCTTTGTTTTTTCCAAGGATATAGCATTTCTCTGTAAAGATGATTAATGAAAAAAATATACTGTATTTTTCTCAACCCTTTTTTGAGCTAGCCAATAATGTTTATTTTCCCCCCTCTGGTTGTAATTATTTAGTTCTTACCGGGTCAGAGAGAGGCAAACTACAGTATTTACTATTTGAGGTAGCAAAACTGATGCCCAAATTAGTTGACTTTGGTTTTATATTATGAAATAACAGAGTTTTATTGGGGGATGTTAATGCAAATTTATTGAAGGTTATGCAATACTGCGTGTGTGTGTGTATATATATATGAATATATATACAGTACAAGTATTGCATAATATACACACATACATATACACACATCTCATATTTACTATAAGTTAAACAGAATTATAATTTGATAAAACATTGCTACACTTCACTTATAGTTTTAGCCTTTCATGGAGGGAGAGTGGGGCACAATTTTTATTAGGGCACCTCAAGTCTATTGAAAGTCCTGTTTATAGAAACGTCTTTGGAAAAACTCTATTTCCTTCTTTGTGATATAGCTGAGGGGAATCATAAGGAAAAGAAAGAATTAAAATGTTTATTTTAATTTTGTGCTAAAATATAACATTAGATTAAACATGTGAAGGAAAAAGAATGAAGCAATGTAAATTGGCCGCTTGTAAGGCGAACTTGTGATAAAGCTGATGTTTAGGAAATAATAATGGATAGGAAATTAAATTGATTGTAACAAAATAATTGTAACAAGGCAAGATTGCTAATAATAAAATAGAGAAAACTGGATAAATTATTCTTGAAATAGATCAACTAGCTGCTAAAACTCCTGCAAACATCCACACATGCTGAGACATAGGGACACCTAGAGTGA